GTGTGGTCGCGACGAGTCACGTGACCAGCAGTGCAAGCGCGCCCACAAATCCACGTGGCTTGCGTCTTCCTGTGCTTGGGCACGGCGACACGGAGTTTCAAGACCTTCTTGGTGAAGAGGATGATAAAGAGGTCAAGCATCCATCCTCGTCGTCATCTTCGATCCGTTGCACCTCCCAGTCCACACAAGCAAACACTTCCACACACTTGCTCACGCACCTCCTTCGCGCTAAGCTGCACATCGTCCATACACAGAGGCAACATGGCCAGCTCGCTCGCTTCCACTTCCAGCCGCGGTCTGCTGACGACATGTTCCGCGCACGCACACACGCTCAAGAGCAGTCGCAAGGCATTTGAAAATGTCAGCAAGAGCGCGAGCGCTAGTGCGAGTGCGAGCGCGAGGACTCGGATGATGGCGCGCTTGGACAGTGAAGGATGCAGATCCGTGTCCACTCAGGCTGCAGGTCTTGAATCGGCCGTGGGATCCGAAGGACCAGGTGCTGACAGCCCCGCTGCCCGAGCGCAAATGCCTTCTTCACCTCGTGGTGCGCTAGAGAGAACTACTCATGGACAAACGGAGTCGCAAGATGCACAGCTTCAAGTCAGAAGCTCGAGAGGTGCAGGTCAAAGCGATGCTTCGTTGGAGGCGCACAAGGCTGAATTGAGGAGAAAAGCTCTAAGAAGCGCTGCTGGTGAGTTTGCAAGCCTCTCGGAGCGCTTACGTGGGCATACCAATTCAAGCGGCTTCCCCCGTTCGCATTCGTGGCCCCCCGTCAGCGTCGCGTCCACCCTCTGCTCACCTTGGCTGCACACCTTTGCCCCGTCTTTCGCAGTGGACGCAATGATGCCTTTGACCTCCACTCAAACGCGTCAAACGGGTTATCGACCGGTCCAAGCCCGACTGTCACCCGTGACGGCGAGGGAGTTGACACTGTCGCATTTGGTGGCCGCTTCTGCTCAAGTAGGCCATTCTCGCACAAACACGTCTCGACAAGCTGCTCAGCAAGTCTACGGTTTCAGGCACGATATAGCCTACATTGACTTGGAAAAGTACACTCTGCCTGCCCTCAGACGAGCAGCTAGCGTGGTGAGAGAGACGACAAAGAGGGACGGTGTGGTGTTGTTTTGCGGAACGGCTCCTGGAACGCAAGACGCCGTGCTCGCTGCTGCTAAACGGTTGGGAAGAAACGGATTTCACGTGACAAAGAGCAGGTGGATGCCTGGCGTTTTGACCAATGCGCCCAACCTGCTCGCCAAGGCTACGTTGATGGGCGCGGATCATTACTCGGAGACGTTGCGCGACAGGGCGGAGCGCAAAAAGGAGCGTCAATCGGAAGGATGGACGGACAAGGATGAGGCGGAGTTGCAATCGAGCTTGGATCTGGTCAGGTTGTCCATGAGGGAACTTCAGCCTGATCTATTGATCGTCTTGAACCCCAAAGCTAATCTGCACGCTATCAGGGAGGCTACGTCTAGAGGTATCCCCACCATCGGAGTCACGGATACGGATGTGGATCCTAGGATCGTGACGTATGCCATTCCTGCCAACGACGAGAGCACTAGAACTGCAGAATTAGTGGTTGGTCTATTGAGCAAGGCGGGACAAGAAGGATTGAAGGATAGGGAACTGGCTCAGAGGGTGGCGGAGAGAATGGTGCTTCAGCGCGAGGCGCAACGTAGGGAACAACAGAGGCTCACGAGGGAATCGGAAAGGATCGCGAGGGAACAGGCTAAAGCTGCCACGGCTTTTGGTGGAAGATCGATCTATGGCAACTAGACGCGACGACGCGGTCCCCTCTCTCGTGCCGTGGGAAAACTTACATCATCGCAAAACCATTCTCGGGGCGAGCGTGAGCATGACCATGTTTGAGACTTTTTCATTGCGACTCGTGTGTTGTAGCGATACATGTGCGTGCCAACCACCGTCTGTCTTGCGCTGCGGCTTAAGGATCAGCAATTCGATCGGTCTGAGTGAGGGAGACGTGCCCAACGGAAATTGGCGGTCAGTATGAGCAAAGGTACGATTTGGTTTGGGAGGGGGAAAGAAGCAGCGCGTTCCTACTCACGCCTGCATCGCGAGTGATGCTACCGTCATGAGCGCCAGTGCCAGATTCCGTTCCCACGCTGCGTCCCACGGTGTCTAACAGTTCGTCTTGACGACGATTGCCACTCATTGTAAAATCGCCCTCGGCGGATCGATTGGCAGCGTTGTGGGCACCCGAGGCGGCGCTGCTCCTCGCAATGGCTCCAAGGTCGGCTGCACAAGCGCGCGCAAAGTCGACGAGTTGCGGAATTACAGTCAATTAAGAGTGAATAAATGCAATAAAAAATGGCCACGCATCTGAGCGTAGCAGAGCCCCATTCCCCTGTCGCTCATGAGTGGGCCGCGCCCGCGCCAGGTACTCACGAGCATCGCTGCCTTTCCATTCCTCGTTGCGTTCCTGTTGCAATTGTTGCCTCTCACCGCGAGAGGGTTCCTGCACGCCAGCATCCGCACCGCTATAACCTCCAAAACCCAATTGTCCAGCATTGGCATGCGCTTCGGTGCCGGGAGGAAGCACGTCGCCCTCCTTGATGGCTTGAGCGCGCTCTCTACGAGCATCGGCTTGTCCGCCAATCTCGGTGCCTAGAATTGCCGCTCCGGATGGCGCGGTGTTGCCGGCTTTGTTGGGACCCGACTGTCCACCTGGAAGACTGTGGGAATGTCTGTCCTGCGCGGCCTCGCCCTGCTCGTGTATTCAGGTTCGATCAAGTCAGCTCACGAAACCGTTGCGCTTCTGCTGCCCTGCCCCCACATTCAGTCTTTGTGTTCAGCACGCTGCTTACTCACGGGGTTCTTGGGCAGAGTGTCGGCGTACGTCATGTTGAGCGATGCTAGGGTGTAAGCAATGAGTGTAGTCTTGTGTGAGGTGAAAGACAATGATGAGAAGGTCGAGAGCAAAGGCTCACGGTACAGATTGCCTTCTTATAGGACGATCGCCGTTCACCTGTGCAGCATCTTCACATGCTCGTCGCGCGATGGAAGGGTTCGCCCATTGTTCTTCTGCAAGCGATCACGCATTGTCCAAAGCGCCAGTGACGGGATGAATACAATCACAAAGTCTAATTCACCATTCGTCTGGCCCACCAATTTCGACACCGTCGTGCACTCGCAAGTCACATCGCTGCGGGTTCCGTGGGGGGCCAGA